GACTTTCATTTCATGTCCTAGGTCCATGAACTATTTTTGCTTATGGGTACGTCAATTTTGATCTAGAATTTGCAACCATCAAAGGACTCCAATAGAAGCCAAAAGGGGGAATCCCCTTTCGATTAGTTTATATGGGAGGCCTGCATTCCACATATTTCTAAATGCTTCTGAAACATTCAAAAGCAAGATTCCATTACTCTTATTAAGGTTTGATTCTCAGGTTACTCATAGGACTCCATTGTCTGGCCGAATCAAACCACATACAGGGTTTGTCTGGAAAGTAATAGGACTGAGTCGATTTAAAAAAAATTATTGAGCCAATCGTTACAATTCTTTAAAAACTTTCAAAATAGGCTCATTCGGCGTCGATGCAGCGCTGTCAGCGCGATTTCCAAGCATTGAAGTCGTTACGGAAGGCATTCTCCGGGATAGCCTTGAGAGCCGCGGTGCATGCTGCTTGGATCCCCTCTGTCGTCTCAAAATGCTTGCCTTTCATCGGCCTTTTCAGGCGCAGAAACAAAAAGTCCGAGGGGGGGGGCACATCTGGGCTGTAAGGCGGCTGCGGCAGCGTTGGAATGCCGGCCTTGGTCAGGTAGCTGTTCACAAGAAAGGCGGTGTGAGCCGGGGCGTTGTCGTGGTGCAACTTCCAGTCGGCTGCGATGTCTTGTCGGACCCGATTCACCCTTCGTTTGAGTCTCCTCAGCAATTCCACGTAAAACTTGGCGTTGACGGTTTGTCCAGGAGGAAAAAATTCATGGTGGACGATGCCTTTGACGTCAAAAAAGACAATGAGCATCGTTTTCACTTTGGATTTGCTCATCCTTCCCTTTTTCGGGCGAAGAGACGCGTATGCCACTCGGAAGATTGCCTCGCGCACGCCTTGCGTATGTCCAAATGCTGTGTCACAATGTCATGAACCACAGATTTTGGTAAATTTAACATCTGGGCAATTAAACGAATACTTAGTCGACGGTCTGAGTTCAAAACTTTGCGCACACGAGTCACATTATCAATGTTTGTCGAAGTCGAAGGTCTTCCAGCACGGTCTTCATCAGCGACCTCTTCCCGGCCCTCCAAAAAGGCCTGATGCCACCGAAACACACCACTTCTTGCAAAAGCAACACCTGGGTAAGCCTGCTTGATCATATCAAACGTCTCTGTCGCAGATTTACCGAGTTTCACACAGAATTTAATCGCGTACCTCTGCTCTAACGAACGCTGCATTTTTGGCTTGCACCATTCACATAAACACGTCGCGCGAAAATGCCTGTGCTGACTCTCCAAGTGCTCGGAGGCAACTGACCAGCCACTCATTCGTTAGCTATGAACGCCCTCTACCGAATCCAGTCGGTGAGCGCATGCTCCGAAGTACAGTCATGGCGGAAAAAAATGAGTCCTATTACTTTCCGGACAAACCCTGTACATGTTTTAACTTCTCTTTATTGTACGAAGTTTCGTCCACCACGGTTGATGGTCGAAGAAGAAAGAAGCAAATACCTTGGCTGAGGAACATTTGCGACTGGACAGGAACTCGCAGTGCCGAAAACCTTTACGCAGTAGCTGAAAATTGTAAACCACTCGTCAGTACAGTTGCCATGGACACGGGCGAGGTTATTACGTATCTTGAAAAGTGACATTATGTGGGTTTTTTTGAGATTATGTAGGTGTTTCTATATATCCTATCATATAAGATGTCAACTTGTAACTAGATGTTGTTTACTTGATATACACTCATTGTGTAATTTCCTTGGTTTCTTGTCTCAAATACACTTACTTGAGATTGATTTATACTCATTAATTTTTATAGAAATTCAGCGCCTAGATGTGAGGCACTGCGAAAACATTTTGTGTGTGATGCGCCATTCCTAAGTTTTCTGTGTTGTGGCTTCATTATGCACAACGCGCAATATATATCACTGATTTCATACACATGTAGACCAATACAAACAATCACCACACAATCATCTAGATGCGATCTTGCTACTCTGCTACTAAACCGGTTTTTCTTTCCCTTGCATCTTCTCGGAGATAGACTCTACAGACTATCTAAGCATTCTGCAACCAGCAAATCATGCCGGCGGACTGACTTGTCCATGAGCATGTCATTGAGCCATTCCTCCTGGAGTGACGCTATGAGAGACGCTCACAGGCCTCATAGTGAGTAAGATCGGAATGAACTATTTGCACACTAGGAGGTATCTAGTCAGCAGGTCAACGTTTTGTCGGTTCTTTTTGACATTATAGAAAAAAGAAGATCCACGAAGGCTCCAAATGTAACGGCGTGGCCTAATTTATACTGACTGAATATTCGGTCAGACACTGAGCATTGCGCCGTTCGGTTTGGGTACACTAGGTCCATGAACTGGTTTTGCTTATGACTACGTCAAATCTGGCATGATGAAGTGATCAATGGGACAGTCCTAATGTCGAATTACAGCGTCATCGTATCCGCGATCCAAACATTGTGTTCATAACAACCGCGCAAACAATTCGTCCATAAACGCGAAGGTTTTAATAAACGAGACACACAGTTCTGTGATGCTCACTAAATATAACGCCAAATATCCAATTTAGCGTCGGAGGCTGCCGAGATAGCAACGATGGTGGCAAATAAATATTGGCCCGAATTGTATATATATATATATATTGATACCGCTGATGCTTTTTGGAAATGCCGTACGCCAGCTGGATGATGGTTAATTAAAATTGATAAAATTTGAATGTCAGTGGGGTTTAGAATTAGACAGGACTGGAGCTGCCTTATTCCATGGCAAATTGGTGTATCGCAGCCCCATATTATCTCATTGAATAGACCTAGTCGTTCAATCTTTCTTAGGACAATGTCTAGTAACAGGCGCAGCGGGGTTATAGTCAAGCAAGAGCGAACAGCAACCGTCTATTTCGTGAGTTGGTAGACTATACAGTGGGGTAAGTTTGTGACTCAGATTGGGCACAGAATTAAATCATTCTATTGTAGAAGCATTGACTTAAGTATTTCCACAAGTTTAAAATTAATTCTTTAGATCAAAATGAAATTGCAGATTTCTGGTTCATAATGCCAACGTACGTTAGAAACGACACACTTCTGCCTCTTTGCTATCCCCTTGTCTTTTCCTCTTCTCTCATAGTTATGACTTTGTCTGGTATCTGGGCAACCAAACCAACCTGCGAAATTATGATCAAAAGCAAAGATCCTACCATAAACAAGTAGAACGAACGGTATTTTCTATGTTCCTTATTGATTTGTCTTTATGTATGAGTAAATAACTCTTTACTAACAAACCTGCTTTGTATAAAGACGAGACCATTAAAATTCTCTCGTTGAAAAGGAATATCGAATTCATTCCGTAATACTTATGATAATGCTCCATTCTTAGAGTTGTGTGACATGGAGTATCAAGTAATAATAAGATAAAACGACCACAAAGGACATCTTTATCTTTTTATTGATACTGCTTGTATCACTGTACTAGTATGCAGAAGTAGTATAATATTTATTCATTTATTAATGAAATCTGTAAGGAGTTATTTCATTTTAAAATTGAGGCTCTTCGGTTGTAAGATCGTAACCAGCATAGGATAAAACTATTTGCATTTAAAATGGAATATAAGAACTACGAGTAATACGGAATTTTTTGCATATATGAAAACGGCATTTGTGTGAAAACAGATGGCCTAGCAGCTCTGATGGCAATAGTAAACGACAGCTAATAAAGATATGTTGAAGATCGACTGCGACTGTCATAATACTTTAAATTGGCATAGCTCAATCAATCAGTTTGAAACTCTATACAGGGTGCTCTAAAAAGGAGGTAATAATGGGGGTCATTTCTAATCAGAAGAACCATGTATTTCTGTATCCGATTGTGCTCGATGTTTTGAGTTGAGGTAGTTGTGGGGAATCGCTAACTTTGAGACTGTAAAATTTTTTCTAAAATAATTTTTTGTTATTTCTCAATCAACTTCACAGGATATGCTCCCAGATAGTGTATCATTTAAGAAAGATGTAGTTGAAAAAATTGTACAGTTAGATACAGCAATTGGCTAAGCTGTAATTTTGTCTGATATTAAAAATATTTCAGCATATTCAGCAAGGCCTGTAAAAAATTAATGAGCGAATAAAGGGTCCATAGTTACGAAAAACTGTTGGATGCTATGGCCTTTCAAAATACTTGTTGGATAATCTAATATCCTTAATAGTTTTTGTGGAAGATAGAAAATTGACATTTTGTGAACTTAATCCAACGACTGCCATTGTCAACCTTAGGAATAAGGAAATAATGAAGGGAACATACGTCTTCAAACTTGAATGAACAATAGGTATGAATAGTCTAGGGTCAGCGCGAAACGTTTTAGTATCCTGCTGATCGCCACGGAATACAGTCGCAGACGCAAAATGCGGAGAGCAATAATCAGTGCTGCTTTGTACTGGATGACTCGACTTGTGTCGACATCGTGACTGTACCTGTACACTAGTGTACACGCTGACAGCGTCCACTCCGCTCGACACTAGAACGCTCAATGGAGGCAAACAGGCAAAGGCGGGCGAGCTATGGTCAGCACTGATTGCTACGCGCCGCCGACGCGCGACGCGTATGGCTGCTGAGCCATCAGCGCTGACCACCGTCCGCGCTGACAGCTACCGCCTTATTCTAAAACGCTTCCTAGACTTTCATATATAGACAGTGTCGTATTACCTGACCCTCTAGCCTCTGTAATCAACTTTTTGTAATCCAACTAGTAGTAATAGTTAGAGCCGTTTCAGATGAAGCGTATGGTCAGCGCTGATGGTGAGCTCTGAAATATCAGCACTGATGATACGTTGGACGTCATCATTTCACATGTAACGGATCGTCAGTTCAAATTTGAATACCATGTTCAACAGTCGCAGGAAAATCGCTGTTGCCATATCTTGGCTTATAATTAAAAGGAGACGAGAAAACAAAGAGAAACGTTTATGGGTACATCCGATTATAAGTACAAGGTATCTAAAAGGAGCCTTTATTACTTTGTACTCCAGTTTGAGAGAAGATGAGAGAATATTTTTTAATTACTTTCGGATGTCAGAAAGATCACTAGACGAACTACACGACAGGTTAGAAAAGGGTTTAAAATTTTCAAATCAAGTTAGGGTGACAATTTCGTCAGTGGAGAGATTATGTGTATGTATAAGGTAAGTGAAAAAATATATTATCAAAAATCATTTATTATCTAACATATTTGCATAAAGAACAAAGATTGCTTAATGAAAATAATTCAGATTTCTTGAAAGATATATTATGCAATATAATAAGCATTGAATAGCGATGTTAATGCGTCTGGTCATCTAATTGTGTCGCAGGCAGTTCTAATAAAGTTGGACGGTAGTTTGTATCACTACACCTGGGTGAAGGTAAAAAAATAGCCATAGAATCTGAAGAATGCAGTGACGCCTGATCTGATGAGTGATAAATATACGATGTTGATGGTGTTGATGATCAATTGTTGGAATTGTCTACATTAAATTGCTGTATCTGTGAAGAAACATTTTGGGTTGATACAGATCGTGCTTGATGAGTTACAACAGAATGTTGTTCAATATTTTTGATTTCCATTATTATACCAAGCACTTAAGATCTAAACTGAAGTGTTTGTGCTTCATTAAAAGTTTTTAGGGTTGGCAAAAGAGATGTTAGAAATGCTTTGTGATAGTCTTGGTCACTTTTTGTATCTTCCTCGAGAAATGCTATTAGTTGATTATCTAAAGCGTCAATTTTCTTGCGTTTTGTTCAGGTAAAGTTCTGCCTTAACTGTGACTCCTTGACCGAACCTTCAACATCAACATCTGCATCAGATTCCGATAAATCGACAACCTCGTTATTTTGGTTTTCTTGACCTGCTTCATCAGCGTCGAAACTTGTGTCTGTTCTAAAAAATAAAACTTTCTCTCACTATGTTTATATCAAATTAAAAAAATATTTTTTTCTAAAAACACACATGCCCAAGTTGATAAAATGATCAAAATAAAAAACAATGCCAGTTCATGAAAAAATAATTTGAAAATTTTAGCAAGTAAATTTTGTTTTCAAATCCAGCCCTAAATAGAGAAGAAACGTACTTGTTTAGGTCAATCGTTTTCTCTAAAAATGTTAGGTTTTCGAAATAGATATACTTTTTTATATGCTTAGCAGAATCACCACTTTTTATTTTTCATAGTTTGGCTCTATCTCGTACATAGGCAGCCCTAGCGGTTTTCCATCTCTTTTGTATTAGTAACACTGTAAAGGACAACATGAAACTATAAATTTTTATTGCTTTTCAGATATTTGGTAAGCGGCAACATCTTTACTGACATCCATTACACCTACAGACTCGGTATTTCAACTATTAGTGATATTGTTAGTATGCGACGAAATTTGGAGAATAATCAAAGAGGATTGTATGCCGGAACTATCCCGACAAAAGTGGCAAGACATTGCATTTGATTTTGAAAAGTATGCTAACTTCACAAACTGTATTGGCGCTGTGGATGGGAAGCATATACGTATAATTAAGCCCATTAAAAGTGGTTCTCTTTGTATCAATTATAAACACTTTTTTCTTTGGTGCTTTTAGCCCTTTGCGATGCCAACTATTGCTTCACATATATAGATGTAGGTGCATTTGGTAAATTTTCGAATTCTACTGTAGTTACTAATAGTACATTTTGAAACAAGCTTGAAAATAATTTGCTAAATATTCCCGAGGATAAGCCGATTTCAGGGTATAACGAAACGCAACCTTTCCCATATGTTATTGTTGGTGATGAGGCATTTCGTCTCACTCCCCATTTACTGCGCCCGTATGCTAAAAAAAATTTAAACCGCAATAAAATAATATTCAATTATCGCCTTACCAGAACTAGACGATGTATAGAATGTTCATTCGGTGTTTTATCCAATAAGTGGCGCATATTTCACAGACCTCTAAATGTATCGTTTCGCCAACAATAAATTAATACCTGTTTCATGATTACTTTTTCACTTAACCTATCAAATTTGTGTACAACAACAGCGGCTACCTCCAAAAATGCTGCATTTTTAATATCTCTATTCTTATATTCGTCGCAGGCAATGTTCCATATGCAATTTTTGGATTCAATCGCACTAATTGAGAGTTCAGTGTCGATTTTTGAATGATTCATTGTTAAATTTAATTACAAGTAACCTCAAGAAACGTGCATAGACAAGCAACGGCAACCACGCTTGCTGGTACTCAACTGACCGTCAGTCCTTTGTGAAATCGCTCATTAAAACTATTGAAATGCTCATACTAAACCAATGGTACTTGCTCGTCTGTCCTGATGATCTTCTCTGACCATACGTTCCATCTGAAACGGCACTTAATCCTTTAATGTAAATAGATTCTATGTGTCCATCGTCAACACATTGTTTTGCGGCTAGCGTGTTAAAGTCTAGCATATCATCTAGCAGGTGAATAAACGGTCGCAAAGAAGTTTTAAATGAGTTTCGGAACACAATCTTTCTGTTAATTGTAATGGGCTTATCTATTCACTATTTATCAGTCAAGCTGTCTCAAAATCGGTGTTGAAATCGGTGATTCGTAGATTCTCTAGAGTCTGATGGTGTAAATTGTGAATCTTGTAAATACCTGCCAGTAAAAAAAACTGCACTCAACTATGTTTATTTTTGGATTACTGCATTTCTGAATTGTTTGCTGCGTCCCTAATCGCATCTTTCTGCAAAATTGGACTGTCTTTTGATGGTAGTTTTCTGGAAGACGTGTTTGCTGCACACGTTCAATATGGAACGATGCAGCATCTCTCTCTACGTAGCTACACCGTTCTGCAAATCACGGCGCACATTACCAGAAGGCTTATAATTAACGGTAACTTTGTTTTCGGCATCTACGTTGATACTCGCCCTTCCTATTCTTTTTAAAGAACCTAACCGGCATTGGATGCTCAATAATGAATATGAATGCATTCTTTGGTCATCAGCTTTTGGGCTATCAAAGAACGGAAAGCGAATGCATATCGCATACACGGAGCGGAGATCGCGCATAAAGCTGCAATGAATGCAAATTCCAGCTGAGGCTTTCCAGATTGAAATTTCATAAATTTCCAACGTGCGCCTATCACGAATATTATTACGGATTTTAATTTCAAATGTCAAAAAGAATAAAATATGATATCAATTCGCGAAATGTTCATTCACAGGTTCAACGGAATTTCTTCCATTTCCACAGTATGCCGCTAACAAAAGGATTTATAATTAAATTGATTTTGCAGGGATGGAGTGATGAGGTTTCATGATTTTTTTTCATATTTCGTCCCTGCGCTTATTTGAAAAGTTTTTTTGGGCCAGGATAGCTTTTAGCAGGGTACCGGTGCAGTATTTCCATTTCCATTTTTGTATAGACACGCTACAGTGGGTCAATTGTATCGCGATCGTGACTGCAGTAATCAAGAGAAACAATAAAAACTGATATTTTAGTGATATAGTACAATACGGAAAATTCCTATTTTTTTAAAAATACTTAAAATAATTAAATTTCAGTCGACAATTTTTTGCAAACATAACCGTTATACTCTATCTGCCGTTTAGATTTTTTGAGAATCGATATTTAATTCATTACTAGCGTTCTTAGAAAAATTTGAGCACGACCAAAATATTTTTTGCAAACAATACCGCCATACCAGAATAACTATATTGGTTTTCGAGTAATCGATGTCAGGTTCGTTATTAGTGACCCTAAAATCACCTAGAACTTGAACTCGAGCTCAATCAAAACATTTATAAAACCATCAGTCTTTTTAACTATAGGAAGCTTCCTAATTGCATGTTTGTCACTACCGATAATCCTGGTGTCCGTAGAGTACTTAAGGACACACAAAAAAAAATGTTTTGTATAAAATTAATTAGGTACATTGCCTTCCCTGCTTCAAAGGAGATGGCACAATTCTTATGGCTCATGGCTCCCGGTCCATACTAGTCTCTTCACTATGGTCCAAATACCAACAGTTTTTCAGTTACAGTTACAGGGTATTCAATGTTGATAAATTTGAAAAAGGTATGATCTAACGGCAAGATATCAAAATTATTTTATGAGTTCTTCGGCTATTCACTAGGAGCTGTTTTGCACATGTTTGATGAATGTAATAGCTGAAACTTGCATTGTGCTTCTCATGCTGAAAGGACTCTTTGACTGTCTTGCCACTTTCACCTAGAAGACAGATGCAACAAAATATATTTTTATTGTCAATTGTACTTAAGAAAGTCCGCCGTTATGGCCGGAACGCTATCAGTTAGAAGTAGTTCAAGCATGTGTGGCTGCATTTAGTGGCAATCAAAGTTGAGTCCCCAGTGCATTCAGTAGGTGGGTTGTAGTTAAATAAAATGGATGTGGTCCTTGCAAAGAAGTTGTTTTTGTTAGTTAATAATATACCTACACATTCTGTAACTCGCAAAGCCTTAATACAAGAATTTTCCACAAATATACACTTCTGCTCAAAATGATACAGACAGTAGAAAAATAAAATTCGGGCAATTTGACACAAATCCATTTTCCATGTCCATCTTTCTTGAGCAAATCAAAAAGTGCGGCTAATACAAACCTACATCCACGGATGGGTCGAGGCAGCCTCAAAGTAGCTATTTTTTACTTCTCTAATACACATCCTAAGAGCTCATAGGGCCACGCAGGCATTTTTCGCGAAATTGCTATACTTGGGCACCCTGATGTAAAACATCAGCCAATTTGGTACCATGGAAAAATGTATAAAAAATGTGTCTGAAAATCGGCATTGAGCATTGTTTGAACTACTAGCTTTCTAATCAGTGGTCAAATAAATTGTAGAATCACGTTGGCGTCTCATATCCTTTTGTATGTATTAAGCTTGAATATCTTCTAATTAGAGAGTAGTTGATATTAGGACCATAGTGCAAACCTGCTTCTGGCGAGATTGGTATCAAGAGCAACATACCATTTCAGTCAATTTAGCTGGGACAATGGCAAATGTGCCATCTGCTTTTAGACTCAGACCTATTACTAGAGACCGTGCATGAGCATGACGTTTTAGAAACTATTTCAGTAAGAGGGAAATGGAGGTCACCTAAAAGAACCATCTAACGAAACCTAGTACATATTTAAGCAAACTAAATAGTGAAATATTAAGCCCTATTAGTATAAAGCGAGTGTATGACACAGCTTTTTTCAAAGGTGGGTTTTTCTGCAGGTCCAATTGTATCTGTCCATAACCCGCTTTACACAATTAAAGTTCTTCAGTTTGTATAAGGTTTTGCACTTCGGAACCCTCCTCATCGACGCCCTTGTATTTGCGAAACTCCGCAGGTTTTTGACGGATTCAACCGATTTTTTTTTATCGAGAGTTAATCGCCTTTTACCCATTTTCTCAACTTGCTGTCCTTAGATTTTATTATACCGGAGGCACTAAATGTAAAAAACTAGGTACCGAGATACCGGCACAGCTACAAAGAGGTCACAAATACTTGACTCATCCGATTTATGAACTGCCCAATCTTAGCAGAACTGGAAAAATCGACTTCGGGATGATTGCTTGAGAATATCGACGTTCTAGGAACAAAACACCATCCAGTCCTCGACGTATGAGCTCGACTGAATCAGAATGAGTAGCGGAAGTCTGGAGACTTAGTCTGGCAGGTCTAACGCGTGGAGGTATACCTAGGTTAGCTGTAGCTATGCCTCTGAGGCCAACTGGCCAGTATCACAGAATTATTAATCTAGAAGCTACACCCAGGTATAGTTCACAGTACCATTTGAAGCTCCCGACACATAAACGATCAGCTACGGCGACATAACAAGGCCAAACGACTCGGCTGCGAAAAGGCTGTGACGTCACGCTAAGTAGGCCAGTTCATATTCTTTTGGTGTTTCACCATGCTGGCTGGTAAGAGCGGTATTGACATATCTAGTTATGATACAGCCGTATCGAAATCTCATCTAATTAGTTATACCTCTCTGTGGGCGAATTTGCAAGATATACTTTGGGCCTGCGCAGCTTCAATGATGATCTGATTATTCTTTCTGATCGGAATCAGTATGTCAAGAATACAGTGTCGATATTACGTTCAATCTGTCACGTGTGAAGTCTAATATGTCTGCATAAATGGAATATGTGGCAACATAGCAGCTAACCTCATATTCCGAGGTTGTTATCATGTATGAATATGTATGTTTATTATTGTTGTTTTAGACTTATATTTGTGTCTCGCAATTGTTTCCCTAAGTTTTCAAAATGCCTGCGTTCCTAATTGTGCCGGTAATTATGCGAAAGGTCCGAAGGTTCCGCTCCCCGTGAGTGAAAACGGGCGCATAAGATGGCTCAGTGCCATGCCTCGTAGTGACTTAGTGGTTAAAAACATACCAGATTAGGCAATTCGTACTTTGCTGAAGACAGCATCATTTGGGAATCCACCAATTGCCCAACAAATTTTAGAAAGAACATATCAAGCTGTAGAAGCCGAAATGAAAATTTACGGGACAAGAAACTATGTACTTAAATCACTGCAAAATAGCATTGATAAGTATACCTCCTAAAAAAATGTACAATTTTTCAATACATTCAGACATTCACAGTTTTCAGTTCATGGCAATCTCCAGATAAGTGACATAAAGTTGGTCAGGATAAAGTTTGAATATAAACCAGCTATTATAACACACTTTGTAATTGTTGATAAAGATCTGGATGTAAAATGTACTCCCCACGAACTGACACTCAACTCGGGCAATATTAAAGACTCCATATTTAGACACAGTTTGGCTCGGTGTTGTATACAATTAGTCTACATTCATATAGATTCATTAGGAGCCATGGAGGACTCATTTTACGAGAGCAAAATATTCTGAAGTCAATTTGTAATACATTCGTGGTCGATCCAGTTCCAGATGAGAGGCACAACTTTTCAGGCTATGCAAAGAACCTTTTCAGATATGTAAGACCAGTTGAGGAGAACATGATTTTATTGATGGATGAAGTACACATTCAGCCATGTTTAGATTTAAAAGGGGGTAATATTGTTGGAACATCAATTAATAATGCTCCATTACCCACAACAGCATTTATGATTTCAAGCTTTTATTCAAAGAAGCTGTTCACATCTGACCTGTTTCTAAAATTGAGCCTAATCTATTATACAACAT